TGATTATATGAATATATCAAATTATCACATGTAATCTGAAAATATGTATATATAATAGATTATATACATATAAGTTTAAAAAAGCATAATCCACATATCAGCTGATTGTTAATTTAGGACCACAACAGATGGTTGAGCAGATTGAGTACATCACTATTTTGGCCTCTACTAAAAAGTGAGTAGTACTTCCCCGAAGAGTATACCACCTAGACAAATACACCCAGTGTCCCCATCTAATAGCTCGTGTGCCCAGGAGTTCTGTCTGCATGTTTTCTTTACATCCACCAGAACATGGAACACAGCAAATCTTCAAATACTCAAATATTCACTCACGCAAAATTGTTAGTACCATACATTTTATCAAAGATTTTATGGAAGAGATAGCAAAAGAAGTTTATATCATATACCTTCAGTGAACATTAAAAAAATTGCCCATTAGACATTTCTATTATTCTGCATACAGTCTTCTGTTGTTCCACCAGTGGATGTCTTTTTTCTCTATATTTCCTAGTCACACAGATATTCCTCCTTTTCAAAATTCTGATTTTTTGAACCATGGTGACAATGCATTGAAAAAGGAAGTAAACATCCTCAAACCACCATGGAAAATCTTTATTACATCAAAGAGGGACAGATAGTGTTTGAATGTTTTCAGAGATAAAGTTGGAATGCTAGCAAAACAAATCAGTACCAAAAACTATTTATGTAGACAAACTATGAATATCTATGCTTATCAGTTGGCTCAGGTGACACAATGTGATAATGCCTATACCATACATTATAAACCCTTCCTTGCTGAATTGATGAAATGTGGTGCCCTATCTGTCTGAAACCTTCAGAGCTCATAAAATGCTAATAGTAGCATATGTGAGTCTTGAGAATTCCCACCAAGAAAACAGGATTGGGCTGGCAGAACTCTATTAAGGGATAGAATCGAGGCTTGTCCTTCCCACTGAAACATGGGCAGGTAATTTTAGGGTTAATCTCCAGACAAGTGCAATTTGCAGCTGAGGTCAACTGAGAGGTGGCAGGTGAGAGTCAATATGAGGCAGGATCAGCTAATTTCCCAGCCGATAAATCCAGAAAGAGCCCCATCATACCCAATGCCTCTCAGGCAGCTGCTATATAGGTTAATGACATGCGAAGGGGAAGACTGAGAAACGTCCTTTCTTTTACTGCAACAAAGGCAGAAATCCAGTGAAAGTGGAAACATCCTTCAGCTCGGAACTACTGAGAGGCCCAGTAAGGTCTTTGGACCATTTGATGAAGCAGTGTTCAGTCAAACCGTGGAGCTCTGCACAGAAGGAAAGGGCTGTATGTTGGTTTAAACCCACACTACATTGTGTTTGCCACTTGTTCCTCTTACAAAGTTACGTTAGGGCACAACAGAAAAGCCCGGCAAAATATACCATCTTGGGCTGATTAAACCGTGTGCTGATAATTAGTGCAAATATGCAGAAATATTTTATTAGGCCTTTTAGTTACCCATGAGGCTAGTTCTAGCTAAGGGAAAGCTCTCTTTCTCCTTTTCAGTGTGTTCAGATGACAATGAACCATGCCTGGCAGGAAGAGGAGACACTACAAGTTTGTTTAAAGAAGAACACAGTTGCAGACTAGAGGAACATGAGTGACAAAGCTCTCCCTAGCTCTTCCAGTTAGCTCACATAGCTGCACTGCATATTTGGACTCACTGACATACAAGAATATTAGAAGTATCCTCAGTCCAGTTGAGCAAGGCTCTTCTTGTTAGAATGCAATTTGTTGGCCCCTTAGAATCCAGTAATTCTTTCCAAAGATGTTGGCTATGTTCACAGGATGTATTCTTTACTACTCTGTGTTTTATTCTTTGCTTCTCAAGTCTGTATTTTCTCTCCAGTTCTGTGGGTCCCTGAAGGGTTTCTGTTTGGCCAGGATTGCATTTAAGGCAGCCAAAGTAGCAATGTTATTAGTCCCAAATAGCAGAAAATATTTTTTTTGATTATGTGAGTAATGCTAGCTCATTGTTGAACAACTCCAAGGTATAAAAGGGCATTCTAAAATATGCTTATATTCCTACTGCCCTGAGATAAATCAATACAATCATTGTTTTCTTGTGGAATTTGTAATAATTGGAAATGGAATAGAAACTACTGACGCATAGAGAAAGAATCACAATGTCAGCAGAGCACCAGAAGAGGGATCAGTAACCTCTCAGCTGAAGAAACTTAGATCCTGTCTACTCAAAGTGTGGTCTATAGACCAGCTGCATTGGCATCACCATGAGATTGTGGGGAATGAAGAATCTTAGGTCAATTCTCAGACTTAATGACTCAGAATCTACATTTTTCACAAGATTTCTAGTTGAATCTCACCTTAAAGTTTGGGAAACACTGCTCTGGATGATCTGGTGGCCACGGTTGTATTGGATCCTAAAAAATCTTCCTTCTGCCTTTGTGAGGCCTGATGGCATGCTATGTGTTCCTGTATTTCCATGAATCCTGGTTCAAGTTCAAGAAGTTAATCAGCAGGAGAGCTGGGATTCAAACAGGTGTTTGCCTCCGTAGTCCATCTAATTAACTATGATATTATATTTCTAGTCATTCTATCCAGGAACGCAATGTTTTTCCATCAATTGAAGTTTTCCATTAGGTGTTAAAATAAAGTTTTATTCATTTTTCAAAAGAAAACATAGCAGATTGTATTACCTATTGTAGGTCCAATTTAAATAACTGCTTTGGCTCCTGCAGAAACCAGGTGGATTCTGGAGATTGACTGTAGACTTCAATACAAACTTATCCAAGTGGTTCTGATCATGCCTGCTATGTTAGACATGGTATCTATTGCTGGAGAAAATTAACATGACTAAAGGTTTATGGTATTCATTATTTTCTATTCCAATGATGAAAGAGGAGGATATGCAGTTCACATGTACACGGAACAAAAAATGCACATTTAGTCTTTTGTCCCAGGTTACATTAACTCTTCCATGGTTTGATATTCTTAGGGAACAAAAACATGAATCATAGAATAAAAAATAGAATAAACTGGATGTTATTAAATTTAAACTTTCATTCTTTCAAAGATAAGAAAATGAAAACTTGAGATGCAGAATGGGAGAAAATATTCACAATAATATATCTGACAAAGATCTTATATCCAGCATATATGCAAAACTCCTATATCAATAACAAACGCTTCCTTACCCATGAAAAATCAGACACAATATTTAAAATGACAACCCATCAAAAAAGCTGCACTTGTATGAATAAACGAAAAATACATGAAGAGACGCTCAACATCATTAGTCATCAGGGAAATGCTAATTAAAAGCACAAAGAGATACCACTACACACCTATTAGAAAACTGATAATACCAATTGTTGTTGATGTTGCAGAGCAATTGGAACAATCATACATGGCTGATGCAAATATGAAATCATATAACCACCTTGGAAAACTTGTAATCTCTTGAAATATTAAACATGTATCTGACATATGGGCCAAATAATTCCATCCCTAGGTATTTTCCCAAGAGAAATGAAAACATATGTCTACACAAAACTTATTCCTAAATGTTTATGGTAACTCTATTTGTATTAGCATCAAACTGGGAAACCACTTGTTTGACACATACAGACAACACTGATCTACAGAGACAAGAATAAACTATTGGTTACCTGGGGCTGGATTGGGACAGGGGAATAGATTACAAAGAGATCATGAAGAAATTTGAGAGAGTGATAGGAATGTTCTGATACTCATTATAGTGATGTTTATACAGCTTTATTTGCCTGTCAAAACTCATTGAATTACACTTTTTAAATGAATGTACTTTATTGTACATAAATTATAACTCAAAATTTATTTTAAATTTTTTTCAGCAAATTTCCACATCTTTAGGATAAAGGTTAGACTTCCTCATTAGCCTAAAAATGCTTTCTTAATTCAGCCTCATAGCCAATGGCCCTTGTCTCAACTCCTGGCACTCCCCCATATAAAATACACACAGAGACTTGTATTTTCTGACTGCATCATGCTGTTTCCACTTCAGTGTCCTTGTGCATCCTGTTCTTGCTGTCTAGACATTCTAATCTCCTTTTCTCTACCAAAAGAACTTTTACCAATTCTTCAAGCATCAGCTCATGCAGTGTCTTCTCCAGGAAATCTTCCATGGTTTCCTAGTGTGAGTTGCATGACTTTCCTGTGCTCCTGTGGTGCCCTGCTCACAGCTCTCCTGTCCCACACTGAGTTGTTAATGTTGCCTTACTTCTCAGTTTTAGATTTTACATACTGTGACATTCTAGTCATCTTTCTATCTTCAGTGTCTGGCAGTGAGTAGGTATTCAGATATTTAACAAACATTTGCTGAATATGCTATTACATGTAAAGAATACCGTTTCTGGCATTTACATTGTTCTTGTTTGTAAGTTCAAGGAAATGGGGCCATCTAAAAACTTCTGGAGAGAGAGGCAGCTATGTATGTGTGAATATTATGTAAAATAAGGGGATTGATTTATGAACTCTGCCTCATTCTCCCATAGGCTTTCTTCCTGTACTGCAGAACCCTTCCATGCTTGATAAAAACATGAAATAGATAAAACCTAACTATGGTTCTCTTGTTGGAGGCACTGTCTTTTCAATGAATACTAAATCTCAAGTGGCCTACGGTTCTTCAGAGCACTCTTTCATCACGCTGAAATGTGTCTGGTCTCCTGAGTCTTCTCTCTCCGAGCATTACTTTTATTTCTCCTGTTTCTTGTCTATCACATTACGTACCATCCTTTTCTATTCTTGTTTGAAACCTCATGCTCTTCTTTAAAAATCTAGGTTGTATAAAAAATAATACTGAAATTTTAGGACTGATACATGGAAAGAGTGGTATCTCATTAGGCTGATAATTGAAGTAGTTTGGAACCTATCACTAATACAATTTTTAGGAACTTAACATTTGCATAGAATGGTAGTAGCACATAACGTCTTCGTGACAGTCAAAGTCTTTTTTTTTTTTTTTTTTTTTTTTTTTTTTTTGCTAGACATGACAAACTTTAGACTTTCAGGCTTTATTCTAGACTAGACAATGGTTGTAGAAGGAAAAGATGTTAAAATTGTATCTTACCTGTGTCTTTTACCCATAAGCTTAAAATGATCTCTCTTCTTTTTCAAAACATGCGATATGTTTCTCTAACTGGTAGCCTCTGTTTTTCCCTCTCTCCTTCTATACCTCTCTGCCTTTCCTCTTTCTTTTCTACTCCCTCTCCCACCATCATCCATGAGAGCATCCTAATAAAAGCTCTTAAAGATTCTGATGTACACCACTTTCTGTTGTATGGCTCCTTTTGAATATTTCTTTCTGAAAGGTAAAATAAAAGCAACCATAATAATCATTGTTAAGAATAACAATACTAATGATTGGTAACAACAATAAAAACAATAGTAAATGTTAGTTTTATTTACCTTCTTGAAGGGATGATGTGCATTCTACAGCTCATTATTTTATAAAGTGCTCTTTTGATGAAGCATTGTAAAACACAGAAATCATTCCTACCATTTTGATTAGCATTACAGTAAAGCAATACTTGAGACAAACAGTGATGTGTGATTGTTTACTCTTTTTGTATTGAGAAAATAATCCATATGAGTTGATTCTAGAATAATACTGTGTTCAGATCATATCAATGACTCATTTTTTTTCCCTTTAAAAATAGTTTCAGATGAAAAGTTTAAAGCCTTTATTTTCTAGGACTGTTTTGAATGTTTCTTAAGCAACTCAATTCTCTGTATCGTAAATACACACAAAGAGTCCTGGTAATGTTTTCCGCAGTATTCAGTGCAGGACCATCTGTCAATCTATCACTCCCACTTGTGACAGAATATGGAAAGGTCAATGGAGTTGTCATTTTTATGACAAACTTGAACAATGCTTTTGCATTCATTAAATTTAGAATCTTTCCCAACTGATAAACACATAAACTCCTTTTAAAGCAAAGGTAAAATATGCAATGGAAATACTTTCACTTACACTATACATTTTTTAGGATGTTGCAAGTCGTGTGTTCCATGCTTCATGAAAGAATTCTATTTTCTCAAAAGTTCAATGGACTTCATAGAGATAATAGGTGACCACTTAACCTGCTCACGCTCACAAATATGCAAGATCTGTTTGCAGGAGTGAAATTATTTCTAAATTAAGCAAAGGAGGAAAATGTGGCACCAAAATAAAGTACTTTTCTGGCCACAGAATTCAGCAGCTGAAAAATCCTCATACATAAGATCAAGATGAAAAGGAAATAGTCTTTACCTGAACCATTGATTACTCAGCCCATCTGAAGATTAAACTGGGGATTCATTTGAAGGAGAAGAAGAATCTCGATGAGTAGATTAGATGAAAGGGTTTTAGGAGGCCAATCAGGTTACATGGGTTTAGTCACAGGCAAATAGACAGGGTGACATATCTGTGAGGGAAAAACAATAGCGGCTTGTCTAGGACAAAGAGGAAGAAATGCAGTCAGAGACTCAGCTATCTTATTGGGGCACAAGAAATATAAATTCATTAAAGGCAGGGAAATACAGGGCAAGTGACAATTTAATACTAAAGGTTACCAATTCACTTGTCAAGTCTCCATCAACTGTGCATATTTGAAGGTGGGTTATTCCTAGATGGAGGTTAAATTTTATGATACACTGATGCACATTATACCTAATTTGTATTTAATTAAAATAATAGGTACATGCTTATTCATAACACATTTAAATTTTTTAAAGTAAAAGGAATCATCTATTATACTCAGGCATTATTTCTTTTACATTGAATAATAAAAACTGAAGTTATCTTAACATTTAATATTCAATTTGTTCTACTTTATTTACTTAATTATGCTGTTGTCTCATATTTTTTCATTGGCATTCTCTGCTTCAATGAGTAGGGGACAAACACTAACAGAAGTTCCTGAATTTTGGAAGAATGTCAGCAGTCTCTTTACTTCCCCAGGATAAATTAATTTTTCCTCCCTTTGTCCTTGTTTTAAATTCAGACCCTTGTTCTTCTCTTTGTGAATTATGTCACTGAGCACTGAGATGTGTTGCTTTTGCTCTTAGTCATGTTTCATTCAGCCAATATACACTAAGTGCCTAGGTGCTGCTCTAGGTTCTCATGACAGAACGGATCAAGGAGATTCTATCTAAAGAGGGGAAGCCAAAAGTAAACACTAAGCACATTTTAGATATTTCTATCTGCAATGGAGACAGCAAAAGGGAGTGATGTGGGGAAGTGACTGGATCGGGGGTGGGAAGTCCAGATTGAGAGACTAAGATTTCTCCAAAGAAGTAACATTTGGGTCGACTTTTCCAGGCACCCAAAAGAGCAAGTGTAAAGGACCAAAGGTGGAATGACTTGGGTTTGACAAAAGACAGGGAAAAAGCCAATGGAGTTAAATAAAGGGGTTAGTAAGACAATGTCAGAAAGGCAGGGGTCAGATCATGAAATTGCTCATAGGGCATAAAAAATTTGGATTTTATTGTAAGCACAGTGGAAACATCACGCTTTCTTGCTGTGGGGAGGTAGTGCTTAGCTTAATTAAAACTGGGATCTAGTTTTTTTTTTTTTTTTTAATGATCTAACTTTTTAAAAAAGATCGGGTGGAGAAAGGCAAGAATAGAAGCAGGGAGATATACTGGAAGTGACTGAGTAATTCAAGGGAAGGACAATGGAAGTTTGCATCATAGGAGATAAAATTAAATCAAGTAGGGAGCCCTTGTGTGGGTTTCCATCACCTGAAAGCAGAGTAGGTAATTACCTACAAAATTTAGTTTTAATGCTCATAGTTATGGTCAATGAGTATTCCTCTTTCTCTTACAGATTACAATGGATAAAACAACACCTACCTTTAGTTGTTTGTTGCTTGGACTAAATTCTCCCTTTTGAAATGCAAATAATTTTCTGAGAAATGTTATATTAAAACATTAGAGTAAATTCAATAGTCAAGCATTTCTTGCACACCATGGAAGATCTTCACCAGAACAAAAACAGCTTGTTTAGAAGGGCAAGAAATACACAAAGGAACACATCTAAGAATGTAGCATTGCATGTTCTTGATTCATTGCTTTGCAGAGACCACTTGTATTAGATTTTTCTGCATCCTCTCCATTATGGCATTACATCTTGGTTACTGAGACAATATTTGTTACATTCGTTGACAAATATTGCTGCACTCTCACTTTAGTGTAACAGTCCAATTCTGCCATGTGATGAACACACATGGCTTTTTCAAGAAGCCTACTTTTGGATGTTCAAATTTACACATGATGAAACACTAAAGTCTTTTTCTGAAGGGCAATCAAAGACAATGATGTTTTTGGGAGATTGGTTTAAGTTGAATCCCTTTGAATCTCAGCATATAATATTGGCCAACCTGCCATATTTTAAGCAAAGTGTCATATTTTATGAGGCACAGCTTGCAAGAACAAATTCCACAATGAGAGACGCAAACATCAGTCAAAGGCAAGGATTCTAGTATCACTAAGCATCCATTAAGGGCAGGCATGGGAGGTACCCTGGCGAATATAAGGCCTTAGGGAGACTATATATAGACATATAAAATTGCAAAAGATGTTACATATGATTTTGTAAAATGGGTGACACAAATGTTGCTAAAAGGGTTCAGAAGAGTTCAGGGGAGTCAGGGGTGATTAAAAGAGGGTCAGACATGCTTTCCTAAAAACTGTAGTGCTTTAACTCAATTCCAAAGGATTGAAATTGTTTTCCCAGAGATGGATGATAAAGAAGCATGACAAATGAACCATCAAAATTAATAAAACTGTTGGCCTCTACAGTGTAAGCAATAGGAAAAGCAATATGGTGGATCCCACAGACATTCCTGGAGGGAAAGTTTGAGTACCTAGTGCATTTAGGAAGCTCTTTAAAACTGAAAAATATACCAAGCCTATACCTAGACTTCTAGACAGGATGATAGAAGCATCCTGTTAACCTTCTCTTCCTTGATTAGTAACAAAGTAAGTGCACAGAACAACAACAGGTTGCTGCAAGCTGAAGAATGTCAAGGTAAGGCAAAAGGAAGGAAACACTGACCATTGCATTTCTATGTTAGAAGGTATGGGTACTGAAAGTAATGGCTTATCTTTGCTTTCCTTCTGTTATTAATTGTTTGGATTCTAAGTTACCTAAAAGAAATAGACAGTCAGCTGGACACAGTGGTTCATGCCTGTAATCCCAGCACTTTGGGAGGCCGAGGTGGACGGATCACGAGGTCAGGAGATTGAGACTATCCTGGCCAACATGGTGAAACCCTGTCTCTACTAAAGTAAAAAAAATTAGCCGGGCATGCCTGTAGTCCCAGCTACTTGAGAGGCTGAGGCAGGGGAATTGCTTTAACCTGGGAGGCGGAGGTTGTAGTGAGCCAAGATCACGCCACTGCACTCCAGCCTGGCAACACAGCAAGACTCTGTCTAGAAAAAAAAAAAAAAAAAGAAAGAAAAAGAAGAAAGAAAAAATAGACAGTCCATGTAATTACACTGTTAAAGAGAATCACAAACACTTTTTACCTTGTGGCATAATTATTCAAGCATAGATGCAAAATGCAAAAAAGTACATATTTTAAATTGTCTGTGTTTTGCTATGTTTGGCAGTACTTTTTTATGTTTAGCCTGGTATAAATTACATTCTTTTCAGGATAGCTTCTTGTTGTAGTCTATAAAAGGGAATGGGTGACAAATGGTCAGCTTACTCCATATCAGAATGTATATCTTTTAATTTTTAAGTCTTCCATAGATTTTTTTTATTTGAATACAGCACATATAATCAAGTTTTTATTCTAGTCTTTAAAAAGCAACCAATGTAAAACTGTGTATTGGGGCAAGTTAGACAAATTATATACTGGTGAAACAAAAACACATACTAATATTATTTTAATGTTTGGGAATTGGAAGTGTTAATTGCTATTGTATAAAACACGTTCAAAATGTTGCTATTCTAAACCAGAAGGTGTTTATTGGTTTTACTATGTGGAATTCAACTGAAAAGACTACATTGGTTAACAAAAAATAACTCATATGATTCATTACTTTATAAAAGAATATATTACTTTAGGAGAACGTTAAATGCATAGAGCAACAATGGCAAGCAAGAGCAAGTAGATATAATATAGGTAGCTTATTTCCATTTTTATGTAATTATTTTTGGTTTTACCAAAACCAAAATAAAATAATACCTCCTCTTTTAGGAGTAGCAGGTGTACTTATGAAAAGAAACATAAAGCAAAGAAAAAGATTTGGAAAGATGATATAACTCTAAGGAAAATAAAATATGTACCATTTTTCTTTGTTATTTATATTTCATAGTAAGATTTAAAGAATCTAGTGTATTCTTATTTTTTTCTAGAAAGAAATTTACATTTTAAAAAATTATGGCATTCAAAAATTTAGCCTTTTTTGAAACACAACAACCAATGCACTCTGTTGAATATTTAATTGAATATGGTCCCTGCTGATTGACTCTTGAATAATTGCTAACTGGAATGGATTACAAAAGAAAGAAAAACATATATGTACACTATCCCTATTATTTCAACAAAGAAAATACAAATTTCAGTGAGAATAAAAATTTGCTTCATGTCAGTCAATGCCATCTTTCCTTTTCGCTTTTTTAGCTGCTGTAATATACTTTGTGGAGGAGTACCAATGAATAAAATAGTTTCTTCTGTTCTTCTTATAAACTCTTGTTACCCTAACTCCATTGATTCTCTGCTCATGTACCTGGTGTAAAATATTTGATGACCCTGAAACAGATATGGAACCACCACATACGAATCATGAGTGCAGTGATGACAACTATGCCAAAGGAATTCTCTAAAGATGATTCTCCTCAATGTAACTGTCCATCTACAGTTCTGCATGATCTGGAGAGATCTGCCTACTGAAACGATTTCATTTGAACTGAGTGGCATGGGCTCATGTATGAGCTAAGAGTTGAAGTAGATAATAATCATAGTTAATATTTGGTGGTTGTTTAATATGTGATGAGTACTGTTATAAAACTTACATATGTACACACACACTTGTTTAATGTTAACCTTATGGTATAGGTACGAGTACCAACCCCACTTTACAGATGAGAAAACTGAGCACAGCTAGATTAAATACCTTGCCCAATTTCACACGGGTACTAAGTAGCAGAGATAGAACTGAAACCCATTCCATCTGGCTGCAGAGCCAATGTTGCTAACCAGGATGCTACTTTGACTCTCTTGATGAGCTCTAGGCTCCTTCTATTTCTAAAATTATAAAACCACAATACATGCCTTCTCCTTTGATAACTCAATGAAGAAGTATCTCTCAATAATAAAAGTATATGGCATTGGGAATATGTCTTTAATGTAGGCCTGGAAACATATCTAGCCAATAATGAGGGTTTGAAGAATGAAAAAGAGATGACATTGCA